AAGTCTTAGGGTCTTTTGGGATATTTATTTGCGGATTCAACAGGAGAGAGAGGGTTTAGGATCTGTAGGATGCCCTTGGAAATGCTTCAGAGGACAGCTTTCTCCCTTAGTAACAGCTAAAGTTAGTAGTATTGTGGCCCTATCAGAGCGACCAATAAACAGTACAGCGTAAGCCAGGATAGTCCAGGACTTTGAAAGGAAGGGACTATCTCTGGATTCAGGGGTCTCTTACAGGGTCCAGATGGCAGCTCTCACCAGCTCCTCTGCGGCACTCCTCAATAAGACGACGCCACCTCCAGCCCAGCTTCCATCAGGTCTCCTTGCAGCCATAACGGAAATCTCTGGGCCCTCAGCATCTGCCACCTGCTGAGGTGCATGCCAGATATCCAGTGGTGTATTCTAGTTCCAGGCGCCCAACACCTGCCACGTGTGTGGGCCAAACAAAGTATCAGTGTATCCTAGGCCTCCAGGCCCCTCAGCACCTGCCATGTGCTGAGGCTCAGGGCATTTGCTTGCATTTCACAGACTTAGGGCGAGGCCCCTAGGGGGAAGAGCCCTCTGCACAGTGTCCCCAGACCTTTTATTACCTGCCCTTAACCATGCCTCTGAGTCATCCTACTCAGGGATTGGCTAGGGTCAGGTGCATAGTCATAATCTGAGGATGGATCCTCCCTCACTGTATGCCAAGGCTCCCTTTTCCTCAGCAACAGGAGGAGCAATCAATCCAGCAGATTCAGGGATACCTATAGAATGCAGAGCTCTGTATAATCAGTATCTAGACTGGTTATAGTCCAGGTATCTCTAAATTGAATAGCGACATTTTAGAGGGCGCTACAATAGTATTTGAGGTTGAATAGAGACATAAGTCCATCAAGTCCAACCTATTGCGTGTATGCATTTATGGTTCTGCTGGTGTGTGCGTGTGTATGAGTCCATGTGTGATCTTGTTCTTAGGAGTACTTATACCCCTGTATGTTATGGTCTCCAAGGAAATCGTCCAATGATTCCACAATCTTAGCTGAAATCACTGCCTGTGGCATCGAGTTCCAGACCCTAACCGCTCTCAGAAGAACCCCTTGCGCCCCTTGTGCTGACATTTTTTCTCCACCAATTTTAGATGGTGGCCTCCAGTCTTTGTTATGGGGTTAACCGTAAAGAGTTTGTTAATAATGTTGCTGTCACCATTGAACATTTTATACATGAAAATCATGTCCCCCCTTAATCTCCTTATTTCCAAAGAGAACATATTAAAATTTAGTAGCCTTGTCTCATAGCTCTGGTCCTCCATCACCTTTATGAGTTTGGACTCTTTCCAGCTCAAGGACATCTTTTCTGAGGACTGGTGACCAAAACTGGACCGCATACTCCAGATGAGGCCGAACCAGTGATCTGTAAAGTGGCAAAATTATAGACTTGTCCCTGCAATACATTCCCTTCTTAATACAAGACAGGACTCTACTTGCTTTGTTTACAGCAGTCTGGCACTGTGAGCTATTATTCAATAAGTGGTCTACAATGACCCACAAATCTTTCTCCATTTCTGACTTTCCTAGTGGCATACCAATAATTGTATAGCCCATTTGCCTATTTCTAACTCCAAAGTGCATTACTTTGCATTTATCTACATTGTACCTCATCTGCCATACAGTTGCCCACTCCCCTATTTTATCTAGGTCCTCCTGTAATGTTATAATGTCTAAGTCCGTGTCTATTACCCTCCCAATTTTGGTATCATCAGCAAACATTGAAACATGGCTATTCACTCCCTCCCCGATATCATTAATAAACAGGTTGAAAAGCATGGGGCCCAGCACAGAACCCTGGAGCACGCCATTCATGAACACCAGCCCATTTATCGATACTCTTTGTACACGTTCCTGTAGCCAGTTTTCTATCCACGTGCACACTATTTCATCTATGCCCATAGACCTTAGCTTGTATAGCAAGCGTTTATGTGGCACCGTATCAAATGCTTTTGAAAAGTCCAGATACACTACATCCACCAGCCTCCCTACATCCCGATCTCTACTTACCCCTTTCGTAAAAGGTTAGAAGGTTGGTCTGGCAAGAACGATCCTCCCTAAATCCATGCTGGTTATCAGTTATTATGCCATTATACTGAACAAATTCCACTAAGTAGTCCTTAATCATTCCCTCTAACAGTTTGCATACTATGGATGTCAGACTGACTGGCCTGCAGTTCCCGGGTTTGCATCTTGACCCTTTTTTGAATATAGGTACCACATTAGCCTTCCGCCAGTCACTTGGCACTCTACAAGTCCTTATGGATTCCTTAAAAATGAGGAATAATGGTCTCGTTATAACCTGGCTGAGTTCTTTAAGTACCTTGTCCTGTAAGTCCTTGAAGTCATTCTTTAGGACACTCTATCTTCCTCTCATTTTGCCATTAGTACCAATGCATACCATGACAGACAGGTTTTCCCCAGCTCCTCCCAACAAACTATCCACCCAATTGGCAATGTGTTGAACTTAAACGCCTGGTAAATAGCATAGTATTCGTCAATCACATCCCGGTAACAGATTACCCTGTCTGTCTTTCAGATAATAGAGTTCCCTACCCCCAGTATATGTATCTCCTTGCCAGCCTTTTTACTTCTCTCCATGGCAGCCAGGGGAAGCAACCTGCTCCAGCAATGCTATCCCTGAAATAGTATCTTCAACATCATGCAAATGGGAATACATTTTGGGGTGTGTCAATACAGGACTAGTCTTTTCAGCACTTTTCCCTCTACCCCACCTTCAAACTATAATCCAGCTACCCACCTCTGGATCCTGTACCTCCATATGCCCATCCTCCTCTATACTTGCCTCTGCCAGCACCTGAGGAGTGGGATCCGAACTCTCCATGTTGTTGATGCTCCTCAGTGTTGCCAGTTTATTCTTTAGATCCAGAATCTGGGCTTCCAAACAAACGACTTGCTCACATATAGCACAAAAATATTTGCCCTCAAACGGTTGTTCAAGAAATGCATACATTGAGCAGGAGCAGTCCTCACAGTGTTCCCATAGTACTCACTGTGACCAGCAGTCCTCACAATACCCAACAGGTATAATTTTGCCAACTGTTTTGTCAATGCCCACACAGATCATACAGTGCCAACAATTTTGTACAGTGCCCCACAGTGTTTAGCAATCCTCATAATGCCAACAGTCATCACAGTGCCCAAACAGTCCTCTCAGTGCCCAGCCATCCTCACAGTGTCAAGTGATACTCACCAAGCCCCAGCAGCACTCATCGAGCCCCAGCAGCACCCAAGGTGTCTCAGCAGCACTCATGGAGCTCCAGCACTACTCACGGAGCCTGGCTGCTAGACTGGTCCCTGCAGTCTCTTCTCCCCTGGGCTCTGGTGGTCTAAGGACCCATGACATCATCATGTCTAATACAGGTCCATTAGACTTGAGGACACCGAGGGACATAGGACAGCCGGAATGGAGGAAGAGAGAGGTGAGCGGTCACTGCTGCAGTACCGAGGATAGGGTCCATATTTCTTCTTTATTTTTACCCCTAGACCAAAATGAGCACTTAAGCCTTGCAGTGCGGGGGTAGCCCCACTGCAAGGAGTCATTTTTAAAAGTCCTGGATTTATTCTTTAAAGAAGCATATAATAACAACAACATTCGACATCATCGTTCTTCACCGTTAAAAAGCAGTGAAATTAAAGGAGAATTATGAGGTGAGTGATTTTCACTCAGCCTCATAATCTGAGCTGACCTCTGACAATGAAACTGTCACAGGTCGGCTCAGTAGATCGGGAAGTGAGCGAACACATACCAGCGCTCGCTCACTTCTCGATCCTGTGCCGGCAGAGAGCCGTGACAGTGGAGGGACTGGATTCCCCCCTCCCCTGTCCGATCCTCCAGCGCTGACTGACGGAATGGATGGGGGAGGGGGCGGGTACAGCTGGCTCTGCCTCTAGATAGGCAGAGCCAGCTGTCACTCATGCAGCTGGGCAGATCCAGACATAATTGTCGGGATCCGTTCCAGCTGCGGTGTCTCAGTATACTGTGAGCTGTAGCATGCGGTATACTGAGCTTTGGGTGATGGGAGGATGCTAGTTTGTGTCCTCCCGTTACCCTT